CCCCCCCCCCCCCCCTTCCAAAGGGATTTCACTTGTACCAACAATACTTCACTAGATCACAGAATGTCCCCTACTGCAAGTGGCTAGTCGTACAACTGTTACAGAGTAACTAGGTAACTATAGAATATAGAGTCACAGAGTAGAATTCTAAACCATATCTGACACTTAGTGTTAATTAACTTTGCTACAAAGGTCAATAGAGGAGGGGTTTGACCCCCATCATCTATACCTGTACCACATGCCATATTGCACAGTGCACTGCAGTGTATAAGCTACAACAAGCTATGTGGGAGAGGCTGTGGGCAGCGTGCAACACTGTTAGACATGCATGAAGAAATCTGTTTGATGACATCAAGCGATTGTTAAATATTTTAATGAGAGGAAAAGGATGTCAAATGCTCACTTAGTTTTTTACCGGTGACTAAACCTCCACCTTACATTTATGTGCTAGATAAAGATACGCAAGTCGTTAGTTAGCTATAAAAGGTCAGGTAAAAGCCAGTCAATTTGGAACCACCTGTCCTCGAAGGTCATTTTTAGTCAGAAGAAGTGACATCTCTACCCAGGCTATGCTACAGTTAATGTACATATATATATATCTGTATTTTTCTTTTATATAATTATATATTTACCATCACAAAGACTTGTATAATATGTCCTGTAATAATATAAGTCCTTGTACAGTGATCTTATCATGAATGAATTTACATTGTTATTTCATTATTTATAAAGAATTAACTTGCTGTGTTGAGTATGAAGTACATCTTTGTTAAAATGAGACAAACAGAGGTGACAAACAGGTGTGATCATGCAATGCTAATACAAGCCTTTTCTAAATGATAACAAATGGTTCAAAAATAAAACCAAAGATGTGCAGATGCAGCATTATAAAGAATTTGTAATTGTAGAGATGTATCAAAGCCAGATGGTCTTATAGGTATCCAACACCAGACAGCCTTACAGGTATCCAATACCAGACAGCCTTACAGGTATCCAATACCAGACAGCCTTATAGGTATCCATACCAATAACAAAACAACAGAGACAAGTTAGTAAACTTACACTTTTTCCATAGAATTGCAATATTTTCACACATGCAAATTCTCCACAGCAAATTACAAACTATAGCACAGCCTCATTTTTGTTTGTTTTAAATTGACCAATGGAACATTGTGATTTGAACTTAGGAATGATATTTGAAAACTGTTAGATTAAAACACTTACTTGGAATGGATTATCGTAGACATGTCATTTGCACTATATAGTAAACTCAAGTTGTTAATGAATATTAGCTCTAATTAGTTTGGGAGAGAACTGCTAAACTTAAGCATACAGCGACCAAAAGACTGTGTTTTACAAATGACGCATACAGTGACAGGGACACACCTAACTTTAATCTGATTAGTGGCACTAATTATGGATCTCAATCAAATTCATTTCCCAATTTCTTCTATAATAATAAGTACTAAGACATGACAGTGACTTGTCAAGCTACTCTACGGTACTTATGAGTATACAGGATATCTATAAGCCTAAAGCAGCCATTGCAAGTTGGTAATTTTGCTTTCAGAGTGGTTAAACAATAAGAACAATTTCAAATTTCTACTTTCTATGTATCTTCACACTACACTAGAAAACATAGACCAGTTTACTAGGAACTTGCCAATGTTATTTTGTTCAGGAATTTTAAAGGCAATTTTGTTTTTAATGTGAAACATCTTATAAAAGTTAGTTATATGCAAATATATTTATTACACCATCTATACATCAGTGGTAGGGTAAAGAAATAAACCCCAAGTCTCTACATGGGAAACACACAACATTCCATAAAAATACACTACAATTCATTGTCTATGTAGCAGTAAGGCCAATGGGAAATCAGAAAAGAAGTTTAAAATTGCAAAGCATTTTGGGTAAAGATGTTCTGAAGATCTGCTGAATAAATGGATGATGAAATATAAAATATAAAAGTAACACAGCCTGGCATAAAATATTAAAGGATTACATACAAGTAAACAGGAATTGGCTTTAAAAAATCACAACATGCGAAATAAACATGAACATCACACGCTGATTTACAACGGCTATACCTGGACAACTCCGATAAGATTGATTCCCTACAGCACAGGATGTTGAAAGGGGGAAATAAAGAAAAAAACTCATAACACAACTGTACGGTCATAATCTTTATAAATAATAACAAAACAAAACATTCATAGATGTGAAAATACGACTACAAACCGAGACAGCAAGCCAAATAATTTTCTATACACTAAGTTTGCTGAGACTATTTAAAATTAGGAAATATTTCTGTGATACTTTAAAGAAAATCATTTCTAAAAATTATACTGCTATATTGAACATTGTCATTAGAACTTTCTGGTTAAAGCTATTGAACAATCATTTGATTAATGTTCTTTTTTCCACATTTCAGTGACCCAGATGGGTTTGTTCTTGTGTATAAAAAATCAAGAGATTTGTATTTTGTACAATGAACATTAAAACATTCTGTAACGGAAGAAAGGTAGCCTTTTTAATACTTAGTGTCAAATTTCTCTGATTCGAGCAATTATAGTCATTTTATTTTCTACAAAAAAAAAGGTTATTACAAACTAAAATTGAATAGAAATGTCTTTTCCAGAATGAATTTAAATGACATTTGTTATATTGATAATCGATATAATTTACGTTAAACAGAAATTTGATGTATATTTAATCTGACGTGGATTGGAGACAACACTATAGCCACTTGGACTAGCTGGGTAACTATATAGTTACTACTATACTGTATGAAATGAAAACTGAGAAAGCATATAATAATACACAGTGATTATACTGGACATCACGACGACATTCGACCACGGCCAGTATATAGGGCAATTATGTACCTAGCTTCCTGGGCTTTATTGAGAAGCCAGCTTGGAAAGGCAATTCAGAATGTTCAAATTAATACATGTTCAACAAAACTACACAATGATCAAGAGTACATAAAGGAAATTTAGGTGTTTTTAAATCATTTATAACAAACAGATCAAATTAATCTCCTAAAGTTTATAAACAATATCCTTGTTTTGAAAGAGTCCTCACTTATTGAAGTCTCAGATATTATAATTCATATCAAAATCATCTTTTTTTTCTCCATTTCACGAAGGTGTTAATAATTAGAATAGAATTTCTTGTTTACAGGTTTTCTAAGCCTTTATCAATATTACCTCTCACCTAGGGAGTAGATAGTTGCAATGATATGAATCAAAATACTGTCTGTTCCAAATAGACAAAGATGAGAACTGACAGAAATGGACACTATAACTTGAACAGAAGTAGAGGAGAGGTTTGAAGGATTAGCTCCTCACACAACCACGCCAGCACTAAACCACATACAACCTACCACAACTGTGTTGGTCATGGAAATTGCTAAAAAATAATTATTTGGCAAAAATAGTTGGAATTATTTCTTCAAGTGGCTGTCAAATTTTTCTAAAAGTTTCACCAAAAATACAGAAAAAATAATGATTTCTTTCATTAAGGCAATAAAAAGATATTAAATATGGAAAATATTTGTTTCCGTATTGAGTAGCGTGGTAGATGTGAGGACCAGTAGGGCTATAGCGGGGATGGGGTTACACCACACACTTACCTCTGGACGATCTCCGAGCTGCTGGTTCCCAGGGAGTACAGAGAGTTGAGAATCCTGTAGCAGCACAGCTGGATATCTCCCACTGGAACACAAAGGCACACAACCTTCAACTCTTCAACTTTTACTGCCATGTCATAGGAAATAAAATCTCAAAATCCTTGAATTTTGGTTGGCTTTCATCTCAAACCGATTACAACTAGTGAAATTTACAGTAGCAAAACAGTATGTCAACATCAGCAAATATGACTCATTCTCCGGACAGATTTGTAGGATTTACTTTTGCTAAGAGACCGGGTAGATTAGAGCTCCCTTTGCAAGAAGCCTGGGATATTTACCAATGACATCAGCACCGGAGTGACTACGCCCCAGGTGGTCAAACAGGGAAGACAGGACAGGGAGGACCACCATGTGGACGAAGTCAAGGCTGGTAGCACCCTTTAAGATGGTGCCCTTGATATGGCTGAAACGGCCTCGCTTGAGATTTTCTACCACTTGAGCAAGGTCATCTGCTGTGTTGTTGAAAAATGGCAGCAGTGAAGAGCGCACCATTTCAGGACTGTTCTTCATAACAGATCTGTGAGGGAATAAGTTAAAATTATGTAATCATGATATATAAACATGATTTCCCTGGTCCTATTGCTCATTTTGTTTGTCAAAATTCTAAAATTAATGGATTCCATTACACCACACAGTGTAACCTGTTAACTGTTCTGTATAACGCTATGTGTAAACTTTGTGGTATAGGTTCCTTATAACTTGATATATGATAACACTTACCTGGCATCCACGGCCTGGATGAGAACCTGTAGGCAACGCACAGAGATGTTCACATCATGTCCAAACGCCTGGATTCTAGTTCTCAGTGTCTGGGCTAACTTACAGAAAAGGCTGTAAATACAAGATATCACATACTGTTACCAGGTTGTTCTGTTCATGTTTATGCATGCAATGGAATGAATTTAAGAACACATATCATTAAATGAATTTAATCAAATTGTGATTAAATTGAGTTGTACACCTTGCCAGTGTTCAACTAGAGTTATGCCCCTTGATAAGAACTTTCCTTTTCTACAGAAGTGAGAATTATTCTCAGGCAGTATAAATTTACTATATGCCAATAAAATATATTGGTCAGTGGACAACGTTGTTTGTTCTATTTTACTATTTAGCAACAGTCATTAGTTTTCTATAATAAGGATATAATATTTAACTGAATGTTGGAACTCTCTATTGTATGATGGCAGCTTTAGTTTCTATAGAAGCCGCTGGTCTGTTGGAAAAAGTCTTTCCTGCTGTTTGATAAAGAGTAAGAACTGGTTAAGTGTTGACCTACCTAGCAGTCATCTCTTTCTCCTTAATCGAGGCTAAAGCACTGCTGGTAGGCGAGTTGGGCTTGCCCACGAAGTACTCACGGTGGGCAGCAAAGTACTTTTCCACAAAAGGCAGCACCACCTGGTTTATTTTAAATATATCTTATTAGCAAAACATTTTAAATATATCTTATTAGCAAAACTGTTACAAAGAATATCAGACACAAATTTCACCAACTTATCTGTTTGTACAAATATTCACCAAATAGCTACAACAATACTTTTTATTGTCATTTTATGTGTAACTGATTGGTAAGAAAAGGTCATCATATAAGGATATAATGTGTGAACATTCTGTGGGCTGTCTGTGGGACTGTTTCTAGCTAATAACCTTTTTTGAAAGACTGATATTCAGTGATACTTTTACAATGATTTATCAAAAACTTTGACATTTTTATACAAATCAAGAAGGTACTAAAACAATACCATATTACACATTGACTTATCGGTAATTAGTATATGACTTAGGAGTCCCAACCTTTCCGAAGAACTTGACATCCTCAGTGGCCATGCTGTAACTCTCACGACGGGAGAAGCGACTGCTCGGTCGGTTCTGAGTCATGTGGATGGCTGCATCATCAAAGTACTGAAGTAGTTTCTCCAGCAGGCTGTAAGCAAATCGCTTTTCTGTTGCTGAAACACCAACCCCACTCTCCGCTTCTGAATCCTTGCTCGGCCTGGAAGATGATTTTTTCTGGCTTGGCATCGTTGTTGCTGTGTCACTGTTGTGAGCCATGGACAGGATAAAAGGTGTGACATTTACGGGGATTCACGTGGGTAGACAGACACATAAAACATTGACAGGTAGAATACAAACAACAGGAGGGAGAGACAGATTGACAGAAAAAGTACAAACAGAGGGATGGAGAAAGACATTGACAGATACAACAAATACAGACAGAGGGAGAAATAGAAAAAAAGAGAGAAAAAAAATCATAAGTGTGATTTGCAGAAGAAAATTTAATAGACTTACCCATAAATTTGAAATGTACAGTGTACTCTACCTAAACTGGAATATATGTTCAACGGACAGAGGGTTTCAATTGTAGAGAGCTAGCTACTCACTATACATTGTTGCCAGAACTAGTTAACACTAACTTCCTGATTGGACAGCGTCCCATTTAGACAGGGTGTACTGTATCACTTATCAAATATCATCACATGAAACACAATTTCTGTAAAATCAACAGAATTCATGGAATTTATTGAAAAATTATTGACAATATTATAACAGAAGAGAGTATTTTATAAACCAATGAGGGCATGAAAAAACAACATCGCCGTTTACTCTTTCACATTATTAATTATTCAAATAGAACTGGTACATATTTTGTTCAAATTCAAGGGTAATCTGGAAACATAAAATCGTATATTTGTACACTAGAATAGAAAATTGTCAATAAAATAGAACTTTCATCATTTTAAATAAAGCATGCTGAAGAAATCTAAGTCAATGAAGTAATAAAATAATTCTTTTCAGACATTCAACTGTACTTAATGGGTTTGTGTACTATGTATTTGTGATCAAAGGTGGAAAATAGAGAATTTATAGTATTTATCTTCCTGGCAACAATCAACCAAGGTTATTTTTAAATAACAAACAGCAAGATTCTATAGGGAACCTGTAGGTATGAGAGTCTCATTAAAACATTCTATTTGTTAGATCATGCATCTCTTACTATCAAACATTCTATTTGTTAGATCATGCATCTCTTACTATCAAACATTTTATTTTCAGATGTAAAATGATTAACACTGCAATTATACGGGGGGCAGGGTTGGGGGGCAGTTGGAACTATTATCTGCCCTGGGGAATGCAGTGGAATTGGCTGTCCAATGTCTGTCTTTCACATTAGCTATAATATCACAAATCCTTACAGCTGTACAGGTCCCCACAGAGCTTCCAGCTGTGTCACACTGATAAAAAGACGTTTTGTGATACTAATTATTATTTTATGATTTCCTACATAACAGTTTGTTTTATCTATAATTGAGCCAAATACCAATAGGTTTGCTTTTGGTACCATATTATAGGGTGCATACAAAAACAGTGAATGAATGTGGATTATTAAAAAGATATTAGCAAAATGGAAAACCAAATTAAAATGTTAAAAAACCCAAGCAAGAACTACATTTAAAGCTACATTTAGCATAAAAGTGATAAGTGAGAGAAAACGGCTGACTCACACACAGCAACAGATGCAAATCAATGTTACAGTATTAGTCGATCAATTTATCACATTACTAGTGTCATTATGTTACATAACTGACACTCTGAGGTTTGTCGAGGAAATGGTATGAGTGGGAAATCAAAACAAACCATTTTATATAAAACATTCAAATGCTAAAACACGTCATTTACCAGGATTTCATTTTTCAATGTTACAAACAAATTGAAGTGGTATCATTAAGTTACTGTCATACTTCTCCTCAATGATATTATAACATAATTTTTCAGATTTCAATTATCAAGATAAAAAGACAAAGGACAATTTTGCATAAATCTTTTGTTCAAAATAAATTCAAGTAATTTTAAGGCAAAGAAAAATACAGGGTGCAGACACACCACAGCAAAACTAGATGGCTGTAAAATCTCAAAAACGTGATTTCAACCGATGTGGTTTGAGAAGGAGAACACAACACTGTCTGGTGGAAATACCTAACACCTTCCTTCCATCCGTCAACATTCTCACTAAATAGAGTAATCGCATGTTACTTCATACACAATCTCACAGAACATGGTTAAAGTAAAACATAGTTCAAGGGAAATCACTGTGCAGTTAGTCAACTTAATCTACTATAACTAGGAACACACATCTATACAAAGGTCAATTTACCTGCACTACATCATAAAAAGCAGTCACTTTTAACACATTATAAGCCTTCCATGCTGTTAATTCACTGGTTATAATGAGGTTATCACTGCAGTTATGATGAAATCACACACTTCATTAGTCATAAAACATAATCACCTATAGACACTGTTTAATTCTAGTCTTCTTGTTTTAGTTTCCCTGGAGTTAATATCAACTACCATGGCGACTATTATATAATATGTGTAACCATGGATACTCAGACAGTTGCAATGGAATAATATTAGTTATCATGGAGGCCATGTCAGTTACCATATATACTATTCTAGTTACCATGGAAACCATAGCAGTTACCACAGAAACCACAAGATTGCCTACCTGTGTACCCTGAAGCCAAGGAACTGCAGGAACTTGAGGAGTTCATGGGAGTGGTCGCGGTCCTTCTTCTTCTCTTTGTCTGTGAGGGTGTCGTAGGGCACCAGCTGGGGGTGGACTCCTCCACCTGTATATTTATAGTACGTCTTTATCATAGTATCTTACAGCACTCCACACCAACACAAATTTCTGTCAGCATGACATTTCAAAGTTAACATATTTATATTAAGCAATAAATAAGCCCAAGGCTGGTAGTAAACCCATACATATGTAGTTTAGTTCAGGAAATATGCCAATTAATAAATGCTATTTCATTGCCTGGTAATAAGCCCACCACCTTCTTTGAGTCAGTGATTAAGTGAAGGCTCCCTGCACTTATACAAAGATAAAAAACAATAACGGTTTTTAATTAATTGGAATATCAATTATTTGCAGGATCATTATTGTTGAAACATTTATCTATTTTACCCATTTCCTCTAACTCCTCTTTCTTCTTCTTAGCCCACATATCATGTGAGTTTTCTGCCAATCTCTCAGCAAGTGTCTGAAAAAATATAAAAACAGATTGTTAAAGTTTCAAATTTCCTCATCAATAATGTTAAATTTTAACAAATACTGACCCGGCAATCATTTAATTATCAGAGAACGATATTCTCACCTGCATTTCCCTCGTGATAGTCATGTTTCTGAGGTCATAAGGTCGTGGGCTGTAACCATGGTCATGCTGAAACAACACAAATTTGTTAAATCATATATTCATATTTCTACTGGTTCCTTAGGTAATAAAGATAAATTTAAAGGGCTACTCTTTGTTATATAACTTACAATACAATTCATTTCTGCTAACAATGTTACCTTTGTACCCTTTTTGATTCGTCATCCACTACAACTCCGACTAGCATCAAATCTCACAGGATATACTGCCAATACCAATCACCCCTAAACTTTTCTCAGCTTTATCCACCCTAATATCAAATTATCAATCACTGTCTCACATTTTATATATATTTACTCTGAATGCCTATAATCATTGTCTGCTGGATAATCGAACTATTCAGCAGTGAAGCAGATGTAAAACCAATCAATCCATCAGTCAAATCATAATGTGTTTGCCCCACTTCCCTCACTACCACCTACCCCGTCCTTTGACATGCGGCGCTTCATGCTCTCCCTGTTGGCAGCCAGCCTGCTCTGGTCCTGATTGAGGGTCCAGCCCCAGGCCAGCATGGCTTTCACACCCTCCCTCACTGGTTCCTCATATCTCATTTTTTCCTGCAAGGGAGGATACATAACAAGTTATATCAGCAATTTTATGATCAATACCTAGTCTTGTTAGTTAGACAGTTGTATTACTTATCAAGGTAAGAACAACTCATGGAGTCCTTAACTTTAAGTAGGATATCTCAGACTTATTGGCACTTTATTTAAAGATAAACTCTATTTATTATACAATAATTAAGTTTTAATAAAAAAATTCAATTGATATTGATCATTCTTTTTGAACCAGATGGTTGCGCACACACAGAGGGTACTGTCACGAGAAAACCCAGGTGGTGGTGTAGGCGACCTGACCTTTTTACATCAGATCGGGGAATCAGCCAAATATGTTGATAATAATTAAACCAAAGCAGACTTGATGATAGTTCACTTTTGACAATTCGATCATTATATGGTCTGATGTTCATTATTAGGTGTTTCCTTGTCAGACGATACACATACAACCTGATGATAAACAGGAATTAGCAGTGTAAGCCAGCTAGTGTTTACACATTGTACGTACAGTTTCGTTCAACAGGTGGTAAGGTTTCAGCATATAGTGTGTCTTTCTGTCGTCATCGTAATTCGTACCAAACAACCATCCACAGTCGATCTGAAACACGGTAACGCAAAATCTTACTTTACAGTGAAATAATTTAATCTTGCTTGTAACAAGCATTTTTATTGGCTTACAAATTTATGTTATCAGCCCATAACGTAAAAAAAATGACGTTGCCATCTGTAATGTCACTTTTGATTGGTTGATAAAGCGGCGTAATATCATTTACCAGGATTTCGTCCATCAATAAAAGTAGATTTCCACAGGGATTGTGTACAGTAGATTAAATTATAAGGATTAACTTAAATATATTATTTATGTTATGGAGCTATAACACAAAAAGCGGAGTGTACTCTCATCATAAACCCCTTCACGGTTTATTTAGAGTACACTCCGCTTTTTGTGTTATATCTCCATAACATAAATAATATATTTAAGTTAATCCTTAAATAAAATAGAACACTTTAAGGGAATATAAGAAAACAGATATATAGTCATACACAGGGCAAGTATTAAAACATCTGTGACAGGAAACCAAGCCGACTACAGCTATAAGGTCCATCCAAATATTACCTTCTTCAAAGCCCAGTTGTCATGGAAGTGCTCTGCAAATTTAGTGATGGCTGAATCCAACGACTGCGTAAGATGAATCCTGGAAAGGAACATACAAAAAGTTGAGTTAAAATCAAAGATTAATCACTCTCTTCAAGTCAAGCAAATTTAGAACACCTGTATTAATCTTCCTAAACTAGAATTTCACCTACCTGTACGTATTGATAGGGGTTGGGTTGTATGTGCCTTCAGCATCCATGTTTGCCTGTCGCAGCCAGCTGTCGTCCTGTTTTGTGAGTGAGTAATCAGGAGACAGAGCACAACCAATGGCAGACAAGCAAGGTAGAGCTTTCGAAAACAATTCTGGATCATAGGCCTATAACAGAGGAAATTATTTCTGATTTAAAGGTAGTCACAGAAATATGCAGTTTCATTAAAGAATGGACATACTTTATGTAATTAATATGTGTTTAACATTTACAGAGGTGCCAACATAATGTACAAGTTGTTGTTTCACAGGTAAACCTCAAGATAGATATAATATTGTTAGGGTTGTGTTGTGTAACACCTTAAACACACTTAAACCTCACTTACTTTGTGACCCAAAGCATCAAAAATTCCATTGAAAAGCATCATGGTGAGTCTCTTCTCCTCCTCTGTAGCTGATCCGTAAGATCCCCAGCCACCGAAACTGTAGTAGCGGCCACATCTCTCATAGTAGGAAGTCAGCACCTGTCAGGGGAGACAACCCATCACAGATATAATCAATCGGCAATACACAGACAGCATATCTTCACCTCAAAGTAAACATGTCAAACTTAAAATGGAGAAAATTAAAATACTATACAATGAGCCATGACACTTAACCTAAATATATACAATAGTATGTGTTCTAGATTTATAGATAGAGTGTAGATATATCCATGAATTCAGAGAGACCAACAACTACCAGTCACCTACCCTCAGGGGAACCACTGTGTTTTCAGACAGTGCTGGTACATCACATGCCAACTTTCTCAGCAGTCTTGTCATTGTTGGGGGACGAAGTTGGCTAAAAGTGTTAAAGAAAATATATATCATGAAATGATACTTCATACATTGAGCTTGTCTGTGTAAAACACAAATGACATTGATTATATAATGGAGATTTAAAATTTAAATTCACCTGTGTCATTAATATTTATTTACAAATGATGTTATTGGGAATCAGCAAGTATTGCAATGAAGGCCCTTACTTGGTGAATGCAACGAGGAAGTCGGACACTGCCTCCATCTGGCCCTTGGTTAGTGAGCGACACTTGGATAGACGGTACACTGTGTTTAGCGTGGAGTCCAGTAGAGTGGAGGCGTGGTCTGCATCACCGAAGAAGTGGCTGTAGTTGGTTAGGAGTGGCAGGATGGAGCTGCCAATGTAGCGGTTGAGGGCCAGTGCCGTGTCGCTGTCTGATCCAGTAGCCTGTAGTACAGAAATGTTATAGAGGACCATTTGTCTCGGTCACCCACAACCTGTGGTAGGGGTAAGGTCTAACATGCTAGTTATATACACACCAAGTATTAGTCAGCTCCTATATCTTTGGCAGAGTTTTGTACTTTTATAAACTTTAAGATGTCCTGTCTTAATAAGAACTCAATCCATTAAATATTATAGTTAATTTTGCAGTACTAGGGTTGGGGATAAAACAGGGATAGAGAACACACGGGTATAAGATGAAAAAGTGTCCTGTTTGTAGCCCCTGTTTTATACATTACTTGAGCATGACGTACAGTATCCAGCGTTGTAGCGGCACGCAGATCAGGAAGGATTCCATCTTCCAGGATCCTGAAGAATGTGGCTTGATCCTCTATACCATAGACCCTCTCTAGGAACAACATGACTGAGGCCTTGTGTGCCGGTGACAGGCCTGGTGGTAGGTCCATGGCTGTGGCCCCAGCACCCTGGCTCTCACCTACAAATATATAGTTCAGTGGTTAGTGTACATGTACATACATCATACACACAATGTGTTGTCCACATAGACCCGACTTTGTAACTTTATAGAAGAATCAACCCTGGAACTCCCAACAGAAGGTTTGATTGATCCCCTTTTTACCACTACACACAACACAACTTGAAAATAGCATAGTGCCTTCACAAAGAACATTTCTCTTCATCGCGGTTTCTACTTAGGATATTTGCCATGTGTAAATATTGTAGTCTGTAACAATATTGAACATCTACTCACTGTCATCCCCTGGAGCTGCAGCCTGGTTGACTGGCAGGATGAACTTAAGTCCCAGAACGCCCTCCAGGTCCTGCATGGACACCAAACTGCGAAGGATGGCTCTTGCTCGGATGGAGTCACTGCGACCTGATTTGATTGTCTCTGCATCTGGGGCACAGCGACCTAATAGGTCCACAAGTCCTGCATAGAAGTTTAGAATGGCTCCTCCCATGTCGACATAGTCCTCGTCATCCTCGGGTGGCAGCTGGTTAAAGTTGTACTTCCTGCAACAGAGCGATTTGTAGATTATGTTCTCGCACAATGTCGATCATTTTGATTACAGGTATTTACATATTTTACGATGAAACTATTCAATGGTTCCTATATCAGTTTTAACCTTTGTGATCAGTGGTCTGTTAATCAATGTGACATACGTTTGGAATAGATATCTTCCACCAGAGTCATCGTCTTCATTCATGGCAGACAGGAACCCAGCGGACAATCCATCGCGAGCAGCTGCGATTTGCTCAGACATCCTGATGCCATCTTTCATGGCCTTGAGAAGGCCACCTCCCTCGCCCTTCAGGGCCGGGCCAAGACATTCAGGACGACGGATCAACAAGCGGACAACTAGATTAGAGTTCTCCTCAACACTCTCACCTATATAATACACACAAGTTACATAAATCACCCGCCAAACCATATCTGTGCCAAGTTTACCTTTAAACTGAGGACTGCTTTTCTAGTTAATAATTAAATAGTGGGAAGATGATAGGTCATTTAGAGAAGTTGTGAGATCACACTGAATCATTCAGTTCTTAATCATATCAAAGACATTCTAATCATATGTAATGAATTAAGCCTAGTGCACACCACTTAAGGATTATTATTCCTACAAAGACATAATAAAAATGATTTAATAATGAAAATATTAGATATCTCAAGATTGCCCATATAGCTCACCATTGACCCAGACACAGAATCGGAGGAAATCAATGAAACGTTCTCCCTCCACTGGGTCCCAGCCAATGTCAGGATAGTTCTTTTCCAGGAGTTCCGCGTTGGACTGTAGCCCACAGCGTGATAGGTAGACAGCCACCTTCTCCAGATGGGCCTCCCTCAGGGCCAGTGACAGCTCATTGTTGTCCATTAGAGACGAGTAGGCTACATCCAGGGGACAGGACCCCCTAAGTGAGGGGCGAGCTGTGAGGGGTCAGAAAGTTATTGTCAGTCACACTCATTAACAAAAAGTTTACAGAATATCTAAATACAGAAACATCAAGTGCTCAAATATAATGACGCTGTATTAAAAACAAGCCAGGGTTGTAATTTCATTTGGTACACTTATGTCCAATCTTTTGCCTACTTTTATGCAGTTGTTGATGAGATGGACAAGAAAGAGTGACACACTGATTTGAACTGCTTTTCCTACCTAATAGCATGCTACTGTTTTCTAACAGGTAACTGAGATGTTCAAACATGGCACGTTGGTTTTGGCGACTGGTACGGCAGAAATAGCAGAGGAATCGACAACACATCACCACCATCTCAGCTGCGGCATCCTGTAACAACAAACAAAACCATCAGGGGTGTGTAGAGCGTGACTTCTGTACTGATATCAGGGGTGTATAGAGCGTGACTTCTGTACTG